AATGGCCCCTTTGAAATAAAAATGGCCCTTTGAAACAAAAATGGCCCCTTTGAAACAAAAATGGCCCCTTTGAAACAAAAATGGCCCTTTTGAAAGGATCTTAAAGAAAGAGAAAGAGACAAGTCGACAAAGTATCCAGACACTATAATATTACGTATACGTATGTGCCATGCGCAGGAGGCCACGTCTAAATGTCACATGTAACTATCCTCTCACGCGAACGTCGGGTTAGCCATGAGGGAACTTTCACTCGTTGGTCGCGGGCACATCGACACTCTCCGGTGTCAGTGTCGATAGCCAAGCCTCGATCAATCTCTATTGTAGAACGCCGTAAGGATATGGAACACGCTGTGTAAACGTGGACCATTTTGTTCCGCTAAACTTTCGATGAACTTTCAGGGGCCGTGTTTTACGGACGCGTTGAGTCACGTTGCGCCTCGTTGCAACACCTCGCGGACAACTCTGGTCATACTTGCTCGAAACATAACGCGGCGCCTATATGCTTCCGTAATTTGATGGAATGCAGGTTTTGAAACAACCGATTTTGTAACTTACCGCGGTGAAAGAAACGAGATGAATAGTTAACTTTTGTTAACTTCCTATTGATTTCATCAAAGGAGACTGGGTTGCTTTGGTAGGATTTCGCGAGCTTTCGCCAGCTACGAGATTTCGAATTTTAGGATCTGCCATGAGATTCTGTGAAGCTTCTTCTGATTGATAATTTACAGAGTAACTTTTCAGATATTACATTAAATTCTATAGAAGACGGTATGAAACTAGTCTGAAATAAGGATTTTTATGTATTTGCAACATCAAAGTATAATGCTGTTCGTGATATTTAATAAACAATTTTCTAGTTTCATTTTTTTTTTTTTTAATTACTTCATGAAAATACGAAATTGCATAAACATACACTATCCAATAATTCGTGGCAGACGATCAAGATTGGAAATTTTGTACAAAATATTGTAATGTTTTGATATGTGAAAAAGATTTATTGAATTAACAATGGCTATACACGTGTATACACGTCTACCCGAGGAAATGTCGGTGGCAATAAGTGACCAAGTGATTTCGCAATTTTGTAATCGAGGAGAATCCGTTTCCTTCTGCCAATAATAAGACTCTCGATGCTTCTCTCGTTTCTCAATCTCCGTTTCACCGCCACGGTTAAAAGAAAGCTACTTCCTCGAAGTAATTGCCAAACGAAACCTTTCGAAAAACTTTTCTGAACGAAGGATCGCATTGCTTTGATAATCTCAGAGAAAGAAAAGAATCTCAAATTCACACAGGTCAGTTACTCTAAATTTTTATATTATTAGAAAATACCGTTCTTTCTGTAGATGGTAAAAAGATTTCGTTTTCATAAAAGTACTTTTACCATTTTTTGTAAATTTCAAAAAAAAAAAAAAAAAATAATAAATAACCTGAGTAAAGCCATATCACACAAATTTTATAAAAGCTTCGTGCCAAATTTCATTCGGCTGATTATCTGAGAACGACACAGTTCGATGAATAATTACTCTTATCATCAAAATACTCAACAAATACCTATAGACTGTAAGGAAATATCATACATTTCAAAACCAAATCAAATTCATTTCGATCAGGTTGGAAATCGAGCAATCGACTCTCTAATTACTCAATAGTAACTAGCCTAGTACTCAATTGCTATAATAATTGTAGCGAAATATCCAGGTAAAAAATATGTTAATTTTCCACGGTGATTGACGCGCATTACGCGCCACAACGTAAACACCGGAGGTTGTTGACCAGTCACGATCGTGGCTCGATCGTTTGAAGGAAAAATCGGAAATGGAAAATGTATTGGAGAACACGGAGGAACAATATTGGCAGTGTTCACGAAACCTACAACCTGATTAAAACTTGACAAAGGCGTCGGTCTAGAGATTCCATTCATCTATGGTGGCTCTAGTCAAAGTTGAAAGGCATCAGCCGTGTTTCTGCCGGCGAACATCGAGCTGGCTGGTTAATTAAATCAAACGTTCGTAATTAGTTCGATCCACGAAAACGTTCGGCGTGATTGCAACAGCACATATGTGTTGGTTTGGTTATTTTCAGATAAGAAAATTAATGGCATTGCAATACGAAACCAAGAGATGATAACACGTATTAAACAGAATAACAAGATCCTATTACATTGGCTGTTTGAGGGATATCACGGCTGGAAAATTTATTCGTTCTGAAAAATTTATTCAACTGTTTTATCATCTGTCGATAAATATCGCGGGGTAATTGGCCTGGTCGAAAAAAAAAAAAAACGAAAATTCAATAAAACAAAATTGACACGTAATCTAAAAATGTTTCATCGATATTTAATTCCACAATACCGAATAATATTAATTATATTATAATTCGAATATTATTAATATTATTAATATTAATTCGATGATCATTTATTTAATTAAAAAACGTATCGGATAAACTAATAAACATTTAATCAACGTGGAAAAGAATTTATAATTCTGACGGAATAAATGTATTTCCAGAGTTAATCGATTAATTCCCAAAATAAAAAGAATTTATAAACATTCGAGAATAGAAAGGAGAATTAGCGATGAGCAAATTTCAAGCAGACCCTTGCATTCTTCTTTCATAATCTTCAGTATTAAGGCACAGTATTAAATAAGATAAATCGATTGAAAAAAATATTTGCGCAACTGATCGATCCTTAATGGGTTAACTAATGCAAATCAACCGTTTGTTTTCGTTTAGAAACTCGCCCAAGTTGATTTATGATTGAATATAGCTAGCTCTTAATGAAGAGAGTGTTACAAGCATAATGAATTCCGTTTCCTCGAATCGATTACTAACCGAGAGACTAACTTTCGCCGCGGTGTGAACGATTAAAAAAGAAAACGAAAAAAAAACAACATATCGCATGGTAAAAGAGTGACGCAAAAATCTTTCGTAATGTCGTCCTGTCTTTCGATTACTTTTCCCGTCGCGCGACAATTTTTTTAATAGGGATTTAGGGATTTAGGGATTTAAATTAGTAATAAACTACTGATTCGAATTAATTATTGACATAAACAAATAATAGCGAGAAGATATTAAAGAGTAAACGAAAAAAAATTTCTTAAAATCTTTGAAAAGTGCCACCAATTTTTTCAAGTTCCAAATAGTCCTTCCTCTTTTATTCGTAAAATTCTTAAAATATCAATTAAGATACAATTGTTAAAACATTTCGGCGCAAAAACAAGTAATAAAGAAATTCTTCTTTTATTCGTGTGTTTTTATCCATTTTTTAATTTAAAGATCAAGCTACTCCAAGCAAGAGTTTTTATTTTTTTTTTTTTTTTTTTTTTTTTTTCTTTTAAATTATTCAACCATCGTAACATACATTTTCTTGACGCTGATTGAGAAAGGAGATAATTAAACATTGACATATCCAAGGCTGTGACGAGGAAAAGAATAATGAACCGTTAATTTCCCCCCTGGGTTGAGATGCATGCCAATGCAACGCAAGTTCTCGAAGCGGTTATCAACAATTATTAAAATTCATTTTATTTATATTTAATAACGATAATTGCTTGTATTTTAGTACATTGATAACTCCTTTTCTACTGTCGTTTTTATCGACCGTGATAACGGCATCACCTTGAATCGTTATTAGATTCCACCGCGTTGTAATATCATTTATATCAATTTTTCTATTTAACATTATCAATCTTTCGCATGTTCCCTTATCAGAAGCGAAATTTCGGACTTGATTCGCTCTAATGCGAACGCACATCTTACACATCAGTTCGAAATTACGTACGTTGTTATGCAAATATTGGATCTAATGACTGCATGTAAGTTCCCTATTGTCGATAAGTTCACAATCGTTAGCTCGTATCGTGAATTTAATTAACGCACACCTCGCGCAATTTGTCAACGATCGACAAAAGTGTTATCGAAGAAAGTGCGACTAATAATACAATCTCTCGATACAACAACGCGATCTGAAGTGAATAACTCGCAACGACCAATTGCTAATGATAAAGCTACAACTCGATTGCGGATTTTTGTGCATTTTCAAATTTTGTTTCATCCACTAAACATTGTAAACAAATACTCTACTTTGCATTTTTGTACACTTTCAAATTTACCACAGATGCGTAAAGATTCGCAGTCTAATTACAACTGTATTTTATACTGAATTTATTCGAAAACTTCGGTTCTTTCGTTTCCGTCTGTTTCCGGAAACGGTGCGAAACATACGAAGTTCCGGAGTTGTCACACCGACTCGTCGCGTTCGACAAGCTTCAGTTTACAGATGGACAAGTAGCCGGCTCTCCCCTTTTTAAATGCCCGTATCGTGTGTCTTTAAATCGGCATTTAAACTCAGCAGACACGTCAAATATCGAATCGACGGAAGAAGTGGAAAAAGCACAGCGCGTTTACGGAGATTTGCGATTTCGAATTATCTGTCAATCAGACATTTCACGCAAATATGTATCTTCACTGTGGAAACATTTATAGAACGATTCTCGCCGACCCTAACGAGAAGCCGGATAGAACAGCAAAAGCATCGAATCAGAAGCAGAGAATATCGTTTACTCACCGCACATATTGTTCCTGTCGTCGAACACCGGCCACGTAAGGTAACAAGATCGGTCGTGAAGTGGAAAGCGATGTGAACGTCAATTGGCCAACTCTGTGTTGTTGCTCTGAGCCACCGTGAGTTACGGTCTGAGCCGCGCCACAGCGTGCT